AAAATTAATAAGAAAAAGTGTTTTCCCGAGAATTTTGGTGCAGTCGATTTTTGGTAAAAAAGGAAGGTTATACACTGCCTTTTTTTGAGCCCCGAAAAAAAAATTGTCTCAGATCGACCCGGAAAAAAATTTTTCTTATAGAATGTGGCCTGCAGAATCCATAATTTCAAACAGTTCCAAGATTGGGCTACTAGTTCAAAAGTTACAGCCCTTTGAATCTTTCTTCGAAATTGGTTTCTAGTCTATAAATTTTGATTGAGAGGTCTGATCGAAAAAGTACGAATTGTTTTGGATTCTACGCATCCAAATTAATAAGAAAAAGTGTTTTCTCGAGAAATTTTGGTGGCAGTCGATTTTTGGTAAAAAAGGAAGGTTATACACTGCCTTTTTTTGAGCCCCGAAAAAAAAATTGTCTCAGATCGACCCGGAAAAAAAATTTTCTTATAGAATGTGGCCTGTAGAATCCATAATTTCAAACAGTTCCAAGATTGGGCTACTAGTTCAAAAGTTACAGCCCTTTGAATTTTTTTTCGAAATTGGTTTCTAGTCTATAACTTTTGATTGAGAAGTCTGATCGAAAAAGTACGAATTGTTTTGGATTCTACGCACCAAAATTAATAAGAAAAAGTGTTTTCCCGAGAAATTTTGGTGTAGTCGATTTTTGGTAAAAAAGGAAGGTTATACACTGCCTTTTTTTGAGCCCCGAAGAAAAAATTGTCTCAGATCGACCCGGAAAAAAATTTTTCTTATAGAATGTGGCCTGTAGAATCCATAATTTCAAACAGTTCCAAGATTGGGCTACTAGTTCAAAAGTTACAGCCCTTTGAATTTTCTTTCGAAATTGGTTTCTAGTCTATAACTTTTGATTGAGAAGTCTGATCGAAAAAGTACGAATTGTTTTGGATTCTACGCACCAAAATTAATAAGAAAAAGTGTTTTCCCGAGAAATTTTGGTGCAGTCGATTTTTGGTAAAAAAGGAAGGTTATACACTGCCTTTTTTTGAGGTCGAAGAAAAAATTGTCTCAGATCGACCCGGAAAAAAATTTTCTTATAGAATGTGGCCTGTAGAATCCATAATTTCAAACAGTTCCAAGATTGGGCTACTAGTTCAAAAGTTACAGCCCTTTGAATTTTCTTTCGAAATTGGTTTCTAGTCTATAACTTTTGATTGAGAAGTCTGATCGAAAAAGTACGAATTGTTTTGGATTCTACGCACCAAAATTAATAAGAAAAAGTGTTTTCCCGAGAAATTTTGGTGCAGTCGATTTTTGGTAAAAAAGGAAGGTTATACACTGCTTTTTTTGAGGTCGAAAAAAAAATTGCTCAGATGACCCGGAAAAAAAATTTTCTTATAGAATGTGGCCTCTAGAATCCATAATTTCAAACAGTTCCAAGATTGGGTAACTAGTTCAAAAGTTACAGCCCTTTGAATTTTCTTTCGAAATTGGTCCCTAACTTTTGATTGAGAAGTCTAATCGAAAAAGTACGAATTGTTTTGGATTCTACGTACCAAAATTAATAAGAAAAAGTGTTTTCCCGAGAAATTTTGGTGCAGCCGATTTTTGGAAAAAATGGAAGGTTGTACACTGCCTTTTTTTGCCCCGAAAAAAAAATTTTTCTCAGAACTACCGTAAAAAACATTTTCTTATAGAATGTGGCCTGTAGAATCCATAATTTCAAACAGTTTGAAGATTGGGCTACTAGTTCAAAAGTTACAGCCCTTTGTATTTTCTTTCGAAATTGGTTTCTAGTCTACTTTTGATTGAGAAGTCTAATCGAAAAAGTACGAATTGTTTTGGATTCTACGCACCAAAATTAATAAGAAAAAGTGTTTTCTCGAGAAATTTTGGTGCAGTCGATTTTTGGAAAAAAAGGAAGGTTGTACACTGCCTTTTTTTGCCCCGAAAAAAAAATTGTCTCAGAACGACCCGAAAAAAACATTTTCTTATAGAATGTGGCCTGTAGAATCCATAATTTCAAACAGTTCCAAGATTGGGCTACTAGTTCAAAAGTTACAGCCCTTTGAATTTTCTTTCGAAATTGGTTTCTAGTCTATAACTTTTGATTGAGAAGTCTGATCGAAAAAGTAAGAATTGTTTTGGATTCTACGCACCAAAATTAATAAGAAAAAGTGTTTTCCCGAGAAATTTTGGTGTAGTCGATTTTTGGTAAAAAAGGAAGGTTAAGTATTCAAATACTATGCGAAGTATTCGAATATTTGTGAAAGTATTTGAGTTACAAATACAAATTCTGCTTCCATAAAAGTATTTAATTACAAAGTATTTAAATACTTTAAACGTATATCCAGTTGTCAGTATACCAATAACAATAGCATGTCTGATGTATATACATGCATATACATAAGACATTCAAAACGTATATACTATGTATTATGTGAAGTCTGCCAAACTTATATCCCATGCAGATGCATCGGACATTTGCGACATACTTTTCCGCATTCTATGGATATACAATATCCCACGTGGAATGTTCATGGTATATGCAATGTATATAGGTCTGCTATGTGGGAATGATATGCGAATTAGTTCATTTTCAGTTGTATTTCTCATAATTTCATCAAAAATTGAGCAATAAATCCAATTAACAAAATCATGTTAAGCCATGACTCAAATGGAAATTTTCTAAAGAATTGAATAATGTTTGAATTTTGTTTTTGACTTACTAGTCATGGTTTACATGATTCTGGTGATTGCATTTATTTCCAAATTTTTGATAAATTAAACGTGTAAACAAATATAGAAAACGAGTTCCTGGGTATGATAATAGCATGTGCAAAACCAAATTTTGAACCTGGTATTAGTATTGCTTTTTTTAAAGTGTATATATGTATGAAAATTCATTTAATTGCTTCCATAAATAAGAAAATTGGCACTGCACATCATGCGCAAAACCAAATTTTGAAACTGGCGTTAAATTTGCTTTTATTCCAAGTGGCTATGTATCAAATTTCATTTAAATGCTTTCATAAATAGGAAAGTTTGCAATTCGGTTTATAAATGGCCGAGATGCGAAAAGGGCACTGTGAATGTTGATCGATTAGGCTCAATTTTTGGAATTGCGTTTTATATGGCTAAAGCTATAAGTATATTGAATTTCATGCAATTCGATTCATAACTCACGGAGTTGTCAAAAGGGCCTTCCTTATTTTTTGGGCTACATTGCCAATTCACAAACTTCGATCTACAAATTTGATAAAGAATCCACCTACAAAATTTCATCGTAATCGGTGCACTTGTTATCGAGATATCGTGCTAACGGACAGACGGACAGACCCCGCAAAATTATAAACTCGCTAGGAGCTCGTTAATAATGAGAAATACAACTGAAACTTAACAACTTCGTATATCATTAGATGAAAAAACAATCTTCTTATTGGCTAATTTTTTGAAAATTAATTTTGGACTGCCACAACTTCGAACTTTTTTTCAAATAACTCAACATTTTTAAAAAATTCTTCCTAAAGACCTTGTGTCAGGTTTTATCACAAAAAGGACTGAGGAAAAAGTTAAAAAACCAAAACATTTTTTGTCGGCAAAACGGTTACTTTGATTTTGTTAAAGTTTTGCAAAATTAGGTACATAAAGGCATAAAGAATGTAAGAATGTAGCACACGTTTTTTTTTACATTTGAGTTTTTAGCGCCGTGACATCATACAACTTTCTTTTTCCAATAGCAACGCAACATTTTAGGTAGCTTTCTATCTACCTATTGTTAATGATACCAATATATATCACGTCCAAGAAACACTCTAACTTTCGTAATTATGAACGGATTTCGATCAAACTTGAAGAGTTGGTGTAACTGAGTCAAGTTCGCGAATCAGCCAATTAGGTCACACTGGGACAATATGACAGACCTGATTTTACTTACACCTGATCGGACGAACCGAAAGGGATTTTTTATCATTATTCGAAAGGCTTTCTTTTGCTGTGTACAACCTACAAAAATTATGCTCGGTTTTATTACAAAAAAAACCAAAATTTTTTCGCCAAAACGGATATATTTTTATTTCATTAAAATTTTGACAGTGCACATTAGGCATAAAAAATGTAAGACTGTAAAAAAATTGTTTTTAATACTGAGTGTTTAGCACCGTGCCATAAACAAATGTAAACTAAATTGTCTTTTCGCAAGAGTTAACAAAATTATGTGAAAGGGAAGACGCCTTAGCCTGTGCCTCAATTCAAGACTTAACAGCCGCGGCGCGATTTGATTTCTTTGGAAAAAAATTTGAAAACTGGTAAGTTTTGGAGAGAAAGATTAATCGTTAAAGTTAAGTGTAAAACATGTTACATGAAAAATAGGCACTCTTCAAGTGCTTTCTAATTCTTCAGTAAAATATGGGGTGCGGCCACTGGAATACAGCACGCCCCTGGTGACCAAAAATACATGACGACAACGGAAATTGTACATAATTTTTCTCCTACATCTATATTTTTGTCGATATCTTTTATGGTAAAAGAATTATGATTCGAGATATCTTTGATGCTACACCCTGTATACTTGCTCGCGCATCTCAAGCTTCTTTTTGGCTCGCTTTTAGTTCCCAAATATGTAAAAAAAAATGCGTGATAGAGAAGCCAAAATAAACATTTGATTTCACATATATTTCGGAGTTATGCCCTTCCTAAAATTTTCGTTTTTTATAATATAACTAGAGAAAGATGATGGAATAACGCCCGTAAGCAAGAAATCGTCCCGCCGGTAAAAAAAAGTGACCTACATTTTGCAACACAATTATAAGTTTAATTGTCAATACGGCATGAAAATCGATTACTCACAGTTGAATAATAAATACTTTATAAGTAGCTGAACTGAAACAAACACTGTGTGGAAAAGCACGTTATGCACACATGACCCTTTAAAATACAAATATTCATCACATTTCCATGCAAAATAACATGAAAGCACCAAACATAAATAATCTTAAATAGTACTCAGTTTATTTACAAATCCACCAAAACACACGTGTGGTCGTATTTAACAATATCGCATTAATAAAGACTGAGCAAAGCAGTATTTGTGTAACCTGGTCATGCATAAATTGTTAAAAACATGCGCAAAATATCACAGAATAGAATTGATTCAGTAAAAGCTGCAGCAGGTGTTAGAGACCCTTGAAGCTGAAGTGCAACTAGTATGTATCTATGTAGTAATACTCACAAGGCCCATTGTTACTGTCGGGGGCTGTGAAAATGAAAACATTACTTTAATGTATTGTACTTAATAAGAAAATAGAAATAAAAGCCAAAAAATCACAACAATTTTAAAATGTTATTGGAAATCCACGCCAAATCAAAAACTACCACTTCGCGTTAATACGAAACCTACGATTGGTTATAAGAGAAAACGCATGTACCTTCTGTGATATTAAAAAGTGGTCGATCAGAAAGTAAAAACTCTTTTAAGAAAAGCGAAAGATTGTCTATTGATCTTTCTGGTTTAAAACTGTCTCCTGTTGATGGAAGAGTTGAAGAAATTGTTCGATAAAAAATGTGTTACTTACCGGTATTGAAATCTAGCGCAAATTCTTCCAAGTCGTTTCCTTTAACAATGCTGTAAATTAATTTACGGCCCAAAGGCGATTCCGCCTGAACTGATAAGGCCAAAGGGGAGTGCAACTCTACATTTTCGGGAACGATCTCCGAATAAAATTGTTTCTTAAAAACTGGCATGGAGCGGTCAATTACTTTAATGTGAACCGTTACGTCAGTTCTGCACGGTGTAATTCCTGTAAAAGAGGTGGGTAAGTGTTGAAGGGATAATGGAATCGGTACCTTTATCATAGGCTGCTATTAGCAAGTCGTATTCTCTGTTATGACCTTCTAAGCTTTGCTTGATTTCGATGTCGCCAGTTTCTCGTTGTACTTTGAAGAGTTCCCCATGGCCTTTGATTAGTTCGTAACGAACCTGAAATGAGCACGGTTAGTATTGTGTGTTTAGAGCTCGTACGCTTTAAGAACAGATTTGGATCTGTTTTTGTAGTGTACAAGCTCTAGTTGAGAGTTGAGTGCAATACCTCCCCGTTTTCGTAACTGTCCATGTCAATAGCGTGGACCTTGGCAATAACACTGCCCTTTACATCATCAACCGAAACGACGGCGTAATACGGAAGATTAACGAACATTGGGCAGTTGTCGTTAACGTCCATAACGGTAACGTTAACAACAACATGAGCTACTCGTGGCCTTTCCCGGTCTGGGACTTGACTTCGGGCCTCCACAATTAGCTCATATTGATCTTTTGCTTCGCGATCAAATCTTAATCCTGTGGTACGAATGACTCCCGACGTTAGACCTATGCTGAACATTTCATTCGGGTTCAGTATGCGAAATTCCAAATGTTCATTCAGCGCGCTTCCCAAGACGTTAACAACGCATACTGTTGTAATCTTCGTCGAGTTCTCAATGACCGATCCTTCGTAGACTGATTTTTGGAATATCAACCCTGAGTTCTCCGATTGCTCCACCTTGATGTATATTTTGGCGACGTTCGAGAACTTTCCGTCGGATACTCGGACTTGTAGTTTATGTAGGGACTTCATATGGTCTGGATCCACCACGGTTATCAGTCCTGTGCGCGAGTTTATGGCAAAGATCTCATTCTTGTTGCCTTCAATTATGTCATAGCGCAAAGAGGCGTTGTCCGACGCATCCGGATCGGTAGCGTTCACCTCAATAACTGCCACGTTTTTGTAAGTCGGCAATAGGAGCGTGGCGTTGTATATTGAATCTGAAAAGCGAGGTGGCGAGTCATTTACGTCGAGTATTGTAATGTCGACGCGAGCCACTGTTTCCGACGATAGCTTTGGCTTTCCCAAATCCGAAACTTGCACGTGAAATGTGAACGAACTGTAGAGTTCGTGGTCCAAAAATCGAACGGTTCGGATCGCCCCCGTGGTTGCGTCGATATGAAAGTATTGTCTTGGAAGCGTTTCAATGATGTCATAGTGCAAGAGCGAGTTAATTTCGGAGTCTGCGTCAAACGCTTTTATAACCAGAGGATCGCTTGTGTTTGTGAGTAGTAGGGAGTTTATCGGTGCCGCTTCGCTGATAACTCCAGAGTAGTTTGCTTGTAAGAACTGGGGGGCATTGTCATTTTTGTCTAGAATATGAACGATAACTGTGCAGGAGGTAGATGCGCTCGCCATGTTTGTGGCGGTGACGCTCAAGTTGTAGTACTTTGTGGTTTCATAGTCCAGCTCTTTGTAAGTAATGATGACGCCAGTACTGGGTCCGATCATAAACGAACCATCGTTACCGTCTACAATTTCAAACTGAATGGAAGAGGTGCTTCGAACGTCGAGGTGCGCGATGTAGCTACCCACAGGCTGGTCTTCAAATATTTCGGCAGTAATCTCTTTGTTGAGACAACGTGGCGGGGCATTATCTGCCATAGCGAGCATGATGTGCGCACGAATTGTGGACGACAGAGGAGGATTACCGTGATCGGTAGCCTTAATGAACAATGTGTACTCTTTGGCAATGGTCAAGTCTAATTCACGCGCAACTTGTATGATACCAAGATCAGGGTCGATGGCAAATACATTTCCAACATTTCCCGACGTGATCGAATACGTAATTCTGGCATTCTCTCCTTTGTCATGATCAATGGCAAACGCTCTGATGACCGCACTACCAACCGCTGCCGATTCGTAAACGCGCCCCACTAAAATTTGTTCGGAAAACTGTGGAATGTGGTCATTGTGGTCGTGCACAATTATAAGAACTCTGGCATAGTTTCTTAACGCCGGAGTACCACCGTCTCGTACCACAAACGTGAGCAAATGCTCACTTAGGGATTCCCGATCTAAGTTTAAAGCCAGCGAAATTACGCCGGTGATTGAGTCCAGCTTAAATATCTGAAGGGAAGCCATGTTACGTGCCGAAGACATTTCGTAAACCAACTTGCTGCTCTCATCTCGATCGCTAGCCTTTAATCTGAGAATTTCGGTACCTACCGGGACTGCTTCGGATATTTCAACTTTATAAAAACTTTCGGAGAACTCAGGCCTATGGTCGTTTATATCGCTCACTGTTACTTCAAGTTGCGTGTAGACAGTATGAACGGCGTCAGTAACACTAATATTAAGAGTATATTCGTGCTGGGTTTCCCAGTCTAATTTGTGAGCAAGCAGTATGTTCCCGGTGTCTCTGCCGATGTGAAATTCGCTTCTGGGATCGCCTCCTAAATTGAAATAAATTAAACAATGCGACTCCTTCGGTTACATGGGTTACCCTACCTACAATGTCATACCAAAGAGTGTCATTATCGGCGTCAGTTGCCTGAATCGAGGTTACCAAGAAACGCCCACTATCACTTTCAGTGATTGCCACTCTATTCGGGGTTTTCACTACGGGTGCATGTTTGGATGATTTCGGAACCTGAAGCACGTGAATCGACACGTGGCACGTAGAACTCTTGGGCGGTTCCCCTCGATCAGTTGCTTTGACCTAAGTCACATGTTGGGTCTCAAATCCTTAGTCCCTGGATACTTACATTAAGCTCGTACTCCTGACCAGGTTCAAACCCTTTCTGCGCGTAGACAACTCCAGTGATACTATCGATCTTAAATTTTGTCCGACCCTTTCCAGACTTGATACTGTACCGTATTTCACCATTAGCACCCGAGTCCTTGTCGTAAGCCAAGACCTGTTTCAATTACCACAATTAAGGAAAGAAGCGGGAAACGAGCATGCAATTAGATGAACCATGCGCGATTAATAAAAAATAAAACTAACGAACTGGGAGTAGAGCGAACGAAACTTTGTAGAGCCATGCATCGAGTGTGTAATGTTGTTAAGCGTTGAGAGTCATGCATTCAATGAATGATTGTTAAGACGTTTCCTTTTGTTTAGTAAAGAAGCGCCATTCACGCTTACCCGCAGTACGCGATCAAGACCAATAACGTCATTAGCTCCAAACATTTCCCAATCGTCATCTGCCGCGGCATCTGCCCCCTCGAAATCATCTTGTTCATCGTTCTAATTAGAATTGTAGATGTAAAAGCTTGTACTTTGTATTACTGTGCATATGTATTTTTTTTTAATCAAAAAAGTATGGGACTGTTTCAAAACTTTCAAAATCTGATAACTCTGTAAGGCAAAACGGGGGATTATTTACTACTACCTACCAGCTGGATCAATAAAATTTAGAGATCAACAAGGGGGCGCGAGTTCGTAGCCTTCAAGCACATACCTAATCGTTTACCTACTCTGATGGACGCTCCCATTTACATGCTCCACTCCCTGGTCAATGAATAATGTTTATGAAAGTGTTTTGTGTTACTTTGTCAATCCGCAAATGTAAATTCTATCATGCCATAAATGTCCATTTTTTTGTTATTGACGCTTGCCAAAACGACATCTCAAAAAATAATTTATGGGGGTGTGGGGGGGAGGGCACCTCTTAAGAGAAAAAAATTTACGGCTTTCTGGCACCCCCTTCAAGGTAGGTATCACTTATACTTGCAAAGTAAACCAATAACATCCAAACAATAAATAGTACGTACCCCCGAACAAAACTTCCACTGGCGATATATTTTTTTAATTTTGACAAAGACCATCCAAATCTTGTTTGGAAAAGCATAATAAATTAAAGCTATCCTCAACAAATTATTACGATATTAAGAGCTTGGTAAATTCCCCTCCGGAATGTTCGTTCCCAAAAGATTTGTCGGAATATCCCTAAGAATCCCTCTAAGAATTGTAGAGAGTTGGAGGACATCCGGAAGCCGTAGATGGAGGCAGCAATACCAGCAAATGTCGATCAACGAGACGACAAACACTAGCAATACACTGAAAGATGTAATTAAGTGAATTAAGAAGACCTTCCAAACACTACAAAAGGACCGTTTGGTAGTGGAAAACATGTGGTCCTGAACGTTACGGCGGCGGTGACTATTGACAAAGCGGTAACGTGTGGAATCACCAGAATGGAAGGTAAGCTAGTCCAATCGACACCCCTTCTCAGAAAGCATCGCAAAGCCAGGCAACCTAGTGATCACGACACAGGGGGTACCAGCGACAGTGAGGGGATAGAAGGAAAGAAAGTCTGCAAAACGGACATTGAAAGCAAGGATGGTTTTGGTTAAGCTCCGGAACGAGAACCATCTTACCAATATCTTGCGCAAGATACAAAAGTTGGATATGAAAAGGGTAGAAACAAAAATCGAGGGATCAGTCGAACGAGAGCCGGCGCTCTTCTACTCAGACTGGAGAAGGGTGTCGGAAAAGCAACCCCAGTGCTGAAAAGATTAAAGCGACCATTAGCGATTGAGAAATCATGTGGCACCGCAGATAATTTCGAGGAAAGGGATTACCTAAGGGCGGGGCTTACTTCCTGTCGAGTGAGAGTGAAGGACCTACTGCTAAGAGGCTGGGAGATCGGACACATGATCAACGACTGTCAGAGAAATGACTACAGCAGCAGATGCTGCAATTGCGGCAAAGTTGAGCATCTAGTTAGGGATTGTAAGGAAGAGACAGCCTACTTTATGTGTAACGAAATGGGGAAGGAGCGAGATGACGGACACAGAGCATTTAGTAGTGCCCGGTAAAGTGGTGAAGCGCCAGCGGTTTCACAGGAAGGTGAACGAATTGCTAAAAATGTTGAAAATGCTACAAATAAATGTGAACAATAGACGGGAGGCTCTGGACTTTGCGGCCCATACTGTTAGACATTATACTAATACCGGAATTGGAGACGTGAGGGGAGGACATAAGGATCAATGGGGTTCGGGATACTATAATATCGGGGGACATTAATGCGCCATCCACGACCTGGGGAGCAGCTGCAGTGAACCGCAGGTGGAAGAATGGGCAGCGGAGCTAGACCTTACCGCGATAAATCAAGGAAGCAGGCCTCCTTTCGAAGAGGGAACGCGGAAGAATCCCTGAGCGATCACCGCCACGGAGGCGAGGGGGCCTGGACATTTCTTGGAAAGCAAGAACAACTCAGAAAACTCAAATCCATGATCAAAAAAAGCAGATGCAGGCTAGAAGAAAGTATGCGACGGTCTGGACCGCAATGTGTAGGGAAGGGTTACTAGAAGAAGCTAGGTAGGAGGATGCCAATGGTGATGACCGATGAAGAATACGTGAATGAGGTCGGGGACTTTTAGAATTTTAGAAACATGATGGAATAATCCCCAATTTTCTCTTTCGGTCGACTCCCCCCTTCAGGGCTGTAGACCCTTAACTTGTCTATGACTTTTTACCCCCTCAGAGCTTTTGTACCTTTAAATTTGATGGAATTCGACCATGTACGTTTTCAGTCGATCTTTATGTTGTAAGTTTCGTCACTACAGGTGAACTCAAATTTGTTAAAGCATTATATTCTAGGGCCTGATGATGGCATTTGCCGAAACATGTCGCCATTGATTATTTATACCTTTGTATAATGAATGAAATTTATGGGGAAGGTTTTGTGATCTTTGTTCTGGATAATTCGCGGAAGTAGACAGCAGAGTATAGAGCATTCCCTGGTGACTGCACAAGAATTGCTGGTAATCATACAGCAACAATTAATAAAGGACTCTATCCAGGGGAATGGAAGCGAAGCCTGAACAGTATGGCTTTGGGAAAGAACGTTCTACCAAGGACGCATTGCTGCGGATTGTGGAGAAGTACGTTTAGCAAACACCGGAACGTGGAGGGCACGGGATGTGTGCTTGGTCGTCTCCTTGGACGTCAAGAACGACTTTAACTCCGCGTCTTGGAAGGCGCTGCGCGATTTGGGTACGGATGGATACATGGTGGAACGTGGACACCTTATTACGAGGATAGTAACGGCGAAAAAGCCCTCGGGTGTGTTCTACAACTTTAAATCGAGCGCGGAAGTGTTGTAGGATGATTTGCTCCCGAAAATTCGCCCCGCTAAATTCGCCCCTGAAAATTCGCCCCCGGAATATTCGGCCCCAAGTAAATTCGCCCCCGGACTATTCGCCTCCGTAAGATTCGCCCCAGAAAAATTCGCCCCGGAAAACTCGCCCCCAAGTAAATTCGCCCCCGGACTATTCGCCTCCGTAAGATTCGCCCCAGAAAATTCGCCCCGGAAAATTCGCCCCCAAGAAAACTCGCCCCCAAGTAAATTCGCCCCCGGACTATTCGCCTCCGTAAGATTCGCTCCAGAAAGATTCGCCCCGGAAAATTCGCCCCCGGCAAGTTCGTCCCCAACAAATTCGCTCCTGGAAGATTCGCCCCCGGCGATTCCGCTCCCGTAGGATTCGCCCCATAAGAATTATTAATCCTCGGAGGTAACAGGGCCAGCAGTTCATAAAATGAATTTTGTTTAATTTTAATTTTTTTTGTAATGACTGTGTATACCTACATAAAGGGGGTAGAATAATAGCACTCAAATATCTACCTGTTAATATGAATAGGTAATTAAGATAAAGTTGAATAAAGGAAGGGTGATTTGTAAAAGATTTGACATCCAAAGGAAATAAATCCTATATTCACAATGATTTAATGACTTCTATTATTTCAGACATGACGTACCTATATATGGAAAATCCATCTTAACTCTTGTATTACAAAAGAAGGTAAAATATAATCTAATTTAAATGACATTTTTGATTGACTGAGTTGTTAGCTTCATTTCTTCTTAACAGAACGTTTGATGTCATTGGTGGTGTATTTGTTCCTACTTGTTATATTTTGGCGCGAATACGAATTTTGATTTTTGGTTAACGATTCTACGGCCTTTTTTTAACTTTCGGATCAATAGTTGGCTTGAACACGGATTTTGAGTTTGGTATAAACCCGTGTGAAAAAATAGTTTTGAGTATTGGAGAAGATCGGTTTCACGTGGTGCTGGTAAGTTTTGTATTATTTTTTATTTAAGTAGTTAGATTTACTTAAAAAAAGAATGTTGTGCACGATTTTCTAAGATTTTAAATATTACAATCCTAATAGACGAAGAGTTTATTTTATTGTAAATCAAACACAATATTTCACCTTTCGTAAATACAAAAATCTGAAAATCAAACTGAGAACAGCAAAAAAGGAACTCTTATGGCATCAGTAATAAAAACGTGTCTGTATTGTCATCTTTATACATAATAGTAGAACACAAAGTATACAGGGTGGTGACTTGCGTCACGCATCATAGGGATTTCAATGTAAAATTCATAACATGCGATTATTGGCACCCCAAATTATTTTAGAGCAAAAATGTATGAAGGTTTTTGGTAGAAAAAATTTTTTACGTCAATAAACCGTATTAGTTTTCAATTTTTTACATAGTAAAGACCGAGGTAAAGACGGAAAATTGAGAAAATAAAACCCGCATCTTTTTGAATAATCTGCGATGCCATGGAATTTTCTAAAACAAAAAGATGTCAAGTTGTCAATTAGCAGCTGGATTTTATGATCGACTTGGTTACTGTCTTGCAGTTAATGGTGACTTATTCGAACATTTACTGTCAATTGTTGTATTAGCAAACCGTTTTTAGTAATTTGGTCTTTCTTTATGTTGAATTCGCTGTTCTAAATATCATACTTTTTGATAGAATTTGATTTGTTTTATAGCAGACATTCCATGGCATGACGGATATTGACGTAGTTTTTGTATTATAAAATTCCATGGCTTCACAGATTATTATTGAAAAAGATGCAGGTTTTATTTTTCCAATTTTCTGTCTTCATTATGTAAAAAATTGGAAACCAACGCGGTTGATTGACGTAAAAAAATTTTGTCTATAAAAACCTTAACACATTTCTGCTCTAAAATAATTTGGGGAGCCAATAATGGCATGTTATGAATTTTACATTGAAATCCCTATGATGCGCGACGCAAGTCACCACCCTGTATACTAAATTCATTGTCTTTTTAAGGTCTAAATTTTTGGTAAATGGTCAACGTTCAACATTTTTTGATCTCAAGTGGATATTTTGAACATTTTAAAACTTTTATGGCATTTGAACATTTTTTACAAAAATTCTCAAATTTAAGGCTGATCCGACGGGCTGAATTTGGAACGAGTACAAGAGTACCGTAGCAGACTAATTGCTACTTAACTAATAAATATATAAGCAAACTTTTTTTATATTTTAAAGAAATGGGGTGTTTCGAGTTAGATTTTTTTAGATTATTTTAATTATGATTTGATACTTCAGCAAACTTCATCAATGTTGGTGTTTTTCAACACAAATTTACATCAAATCTGAATCTGGACCAATTTTCAAATGTAAGTCTAAAGAAAGAATCATCCTTTGTTTGTACATTGATGCCAAACACGTTTCAATACATCCATAAATGGCGAATATTCCGGGGGCGAATTTACTTGGGGGGGAATTTTCGGGGGCGAATTTACCGGGGCGAGTCTTCCGGGGCGAATTTACCGCACACCGTTTTAGGATCTTTGCGGTGGATGGATGGATAAAGTGGGTTGGTACCGGCGCAAATTGCGATCAATGCGCGAGCAGAAAGATGGGGAATAAGGTAAAGCAAGAGTCGCAGCAAAGGTGGTAGAGAAGAAAAATAGGTGGATAGAAAATACGGAGAGGTAAACTACCATCTGGCCCAATTCTTGACTGGACACGGAAGAGCGAGTCATATCTTTCTAAATTTAAGAAACGGGAAGATCAGAACTGTGCAGACTGCAGGGAAACCGACACCGCAGGTCATGCGGTATTTGAATGCCCTAGATGAATACGGAAAAGATACCTGGAGATAAGTGGAGTCGTGGTTAGGTTTCCAAATCGATACCACGAACATTGTAGATGCCATGCTGGACTCGGTGGAGAAGTGGAACAAGATTTCACAGATGGTGATCTCATGGTCACGTCAGAGGAAGGGTTTTGACAGGTAAATCTTACCTATATGGAAGGGAGTCTCTCCCTTCCGTTATAGAGCCGAACGGGAGAGCCTATAAAAGGTTTCCCAAACCTCGATAAAAGCCCGTAGCGCTAAAGGATGATAAAATAAGATATGTGATGGTTCGGAAATAATTCAATATTTAATTCAAAAATACATAAATGGCAAGAACACTAGGAGCTAATTTCCTTTTGGGTGGTTCTTTGAGGCTGGGCCATAGACGCATTATCCTGCGTTGAATTCTCTTAAAGGTAAATCTGACTGAATGTTTCTGAGTGCTGGCCGGCAATAGATAACACTGCCAGATTGTGAATGAAATTATGCCCCTTGCCCCACACCCCTCAACATGAATAATAATTGATAATTCGTTAAGTTGCCTATTCCGACATGTTGCGGGTTGTACAACTTAAATAAGACAACCCTCCTTCTAGGGGCATGAAACTACTATTAAAGTATTTGTGCTTCTTTTATGCTGAAAATTACAATGAGAAATTGTTTCCTTATCCTCGGAGTGTCTTAAATCATATGAAACATGTACTTGTTTTGTGCTCATTTATATGCGCTTTTTTTTAAAATATTCCAATACATTATAACAGCTTCAAGTTAAACATTTTCGAAATAACCTATGTCATAGTTTTGCATTGAATTATGTTCCCCACCTCCCCTCCTTTAGTGCTTCAACAGATTTCTACAAGATTTTGAATCCCCGTTATCTTATGGTTCTGGGATGCACATATGTGTAGCCCGACAATAAAGTTGATCAACTTCTTAAAGTGTGTCCATATTCTTGCGGTATTGTTATTTATTTACCACACCGTAAATTTGCGAGGTCGACCAGCATTGCTAAACACCCGGTTATCTAGAAGCGTTTTATGTTGGGCGCTTCGTTACTAAACATTGTAGCTTCTGAATTTATGATCGATGATTAAAAAATAGTATATTAAGTATGGAGAACGGTAAGGGATTTTTACCGTTCGAAGACAATTGTTTGGAGGAGGAGCGAAGCGACGACTCCAATTATTGTCTGAGAACGGTAACCCTTAACGTTCGACGTGCTTATAACATTTTTTGCGCGATCGAAATTAAAATTATCCAACCAATATAACTATGCACTAAGAAATTAACGAGCAGAATAAATCGAAATGTTCGAAGTGGTCTGGTGTACATCACTAGGCAACCAGTTTAAATATCAAAATTGAAATTAATAATTTCAGAAAAATGTGCATGTGTCTGATTACTACCTTTGCACTTCCTTTATGACTTTATGAGCGTCTTGCTATAGGAAACAACAGCACAAATTGTACGTTTAATGTACCTAACAATAATTAAAGATTAAATGTAATGTAAGACTGTTGATTTTTAAAAAGGCGTCGGTAAGTATTTTTGCTGTTCTGTTTTTAGATCGGTAAGTAATTTTGGCGTCGTCGTAATCATAGCAACTGGTAAATTCTACGTACTGTCATGGAAACACCCATGGTAAATAGTCAGAAATGACCGATCGCGCAAAAATGACATTAAAGGAGGAAATTCCTCCGAAACGAAAGGCGCACAAAATTTGTGTAATGGACGCATAAATCAGCACAAAACATGTACAAAATGCAATTTTTCTTACGGTGGGCAAATTTGTCTTCTACTAAAAGATGACGTTTTAGATTCTGCAAAACGCGACAGTGTGTTAAATATATGGCTATTTGAATAACGTACGGGTATCTGTTATTGTTTCTCCCGTATATAATAAATAACGATTTACCACGAACAGGATTTGCGCACGGGGGTATTTCACATTACAATGACATTTCATCAAGATCGATTTCGATAACATTTTCCGGAACATAGACAGATAATTGAAACAGCAACAACAACAACAAGAGGTGCACGTAATGTCGTCATATGAAAAGAAGTGAAGGGGTATGTGTTACAAGTAACATGGCATTCTTGGAACCCATCTTTGTTTAAAAATTAGTTAAGCAGTAAAAATAATTGGCTTCACCTGAAAAACGGGGGCATCCAAACTGGCACTTGACGGAATTTGAACTTTATAAAAGTTATCTTCAAATTCTGGAGCGTGCTCGTTAACGTCTTCAACTTTAATTACAACTCTTGTGGTTGACGATAAAGGTGGCTTTCCATTATCAGCGATTAAAACCTATGATAGAAAATCATATAGCAAAAGAGGGCAATTCTAGAAAGTTTTCGCAACTTTTGCAACTTTAATTAAAATTAATAATGCTCCGTCGCTTGTATCATATTTTAGATTTGTTACTTAACGTTCTTTTTTTAACAGACGTTAATTAAATTAGTGTCATACCTCTAGTGTGTGCTCTTCTTGATGCTCTCGGTTCAGTCGTCTCATAGTCGTCGTAATTAAACCTGAAATAGATGAACAAAGTTAATTCGATTTGGCAAAATTATTGAAGCACCTCGCGTTTATAACAATAGGCCACCCTTTACTTAGTTTTTATAACGTTGTACTATATCAGTGAATACCTACGTATTCTTAATTCGACACAAAAAAACAGACAGGGTTGAGGGTTAAATATATTCATTTTCCTGCGCTAAAAAATCGCTGCAAGTTAGCTTCTTTGGAATTTAACTCTTAAGTATGTTTACCCCCTCCCTCGAAAAATGTACGAGGCAAAACGATAATGCTTTCTCCCCCCAATCGTCCGGTCGTTCGCTCGCTCCCTCGATGGCTTCATGTTTTAAAAGCGAAGAGGTGGAATCTTTACAAAATTTGTAGATCGGAGATCGTGAATTGGCAATGTAAGTCAAAAAATAAAGAAGGCCCTTTGGACATCTCAGTTACTTATGAACCGAACTGCATGACATTCAAACTGGGCATAGCTTTAGCGATATAAATCATGTCTTTATCCAAGAACATGTTCCGTCAGGGTGCGGGCCTCCGCTAACAACTCGACGCTAACTAAGATGCTGGCCGCGGGCGCTTATACATTGAACCTAATGTGACCTTCCGTTCTCAAGATGTCTGCAATAAAAGAGGTTTTTAATGAGAGAGGTTTTTAATTGATTAAAGACCTTAAAATCATCTGGGATTGGTAGTAAAAAAGACATTGACCAATGAACGATTAAATATGGCCGTTGGGATTAACAAACAGGTAGTGGGAATCGATTTGAAACACGAGGTTTGTTTTTAATCGTTTTTTTAATCTGACAACTCAACTTTTCGCACTTTCAAAACTGAAATTAGGTATTAATTCTGAGCACAAACTGTTTAGATAGTTTTTACATGGACTATGCGTATGCTATCAATCTCGTTTGCATTCTAAAAGAGAACTTCTTTTGTAAAGGAGTATATTTACCAAAAATGCTGAAAAAACTAAATCCAAAAACCGTTCGATTTAACCTCATAGTCTCTTATATCAAATTTACTCCAAATTTTGGGTAAATAACTATATGTGTGAGCCAATTGCCTTCATAACTAGAAGTTGTACAGGGTTGTCAGTCTATTTTGATCCCTCACTTATTTTGATAAACTTTGGGAACACAAAAAAGTTTTCGCATTTTATTTGTGTCGCTTAAAAATGTAGTAACTGAGTCAATTCAATTCAATATATAGGAAGTGCCCAACAAGATACGTTTTCAATATTTTTAATCGAACACCCTGTATATTTTTATAGTTTTGAGTAGCCCTGTGTTTCCTGACAAATATACAATATTGTATAACAATAGTTTCATTAATTAGTAACTTTTCGCACTATTAAATGATAACAAATACAATAAAACAACTCTATATATTTTGACAATAAACAAAATTGATGACTAATATAAGTTAGTATAAAATACAATTCTCAAAATAATTGTTCAAAGTTACCTCCATTGTTGTCTATGCACAACTGATATGGCCCTTTCAAATTTTCAAATATATATTCATTCATGTTATCACTTAATAGCGCAAAAAGCCATTAAAGAATGTAACTAATGTTATGCAATATTATACATTTACAATCAGGAAATACAAGACTACACAAAACTTCGTGGTTTATTTATTTATAATGAATTAGCAAAGACTTTATTACCGTCTTCAAATGGATTAATTTGTAACAGATAATTATATTTATCACTTGCAATTTAAAACATAACTCCAGCGCGAACTATTTATCACGGAATATTTCACTTCGGCAACGGCGTTAGAACTACTTAATTACAAGCGATTCAGTTCGCTTATATAGCAAGCGCCGGTCTTTGACGAACACTTCCGAATGTTTTGGACTAAAACACGTCACATTTCCCGGAAACATTGCGTCACACCCGCCTTCGTTCTTTATTGCCGATGGCTAATCTTTCATGCTGCCGCGATGACTATCGAGATTTCTGGACTATTTTATAAAAATGTACAGGGTGTCCGATTACAAGATATTGAAAGTGCATTTTGTTGAGCAACCTTTTCCCAACACTCATGAAAATAAGTGGGGGTTAAAATAATCTACTGAAAAACTCTGTACAAATCTGAAAATATTTTACCTGAAACTAGTTCAATAAATAAGCTATGTAATTTTAGAAATCTGATAATTAGTGCAAATTTTTCCCGCGACTCATTAAAGGTATCTACATGTTTTTTTGTTTCTCCGTCCGTCGCTCTACGACATTGCTACGTCCATATTGCATTTTGTCTTGATTATTTTTTCTCCGGTTTAGGGCGTTGTGCGCGGGTGCACCACCACCCTGTTTAAACCAACAGTTTTCAACTTTTTTCGTCTGCCCTATATCGTTGAATTCGTAATAAAAAATGCTACTCAACACTTTTTTGACGGGCCATATAAAAAATTAAGTTGATGATGATTTCTCCTAAATAAAACGCATTAAAAATCTCTCAAAGGCTGTCTTGCAGAGCTCAAAAAGTGGCAATGAGTAAGTGTTTTTTTTTTAAATTTATAGTGCATTTTGTAAGAATTAAAAAAATGTGCTATTGTTTGCGTTTTATCCGTTCGTCCATCCGTGCGGACCCACTTCTGAGGTTACTGGAATAATTTTCTGTTGATCAATAAATACAATAATTATTATTGGTGTCGGTTGAAGATAATTCAGCCAAAGAAAAAAAAAGGATTAAGTAACGAGTTTGTAATACTTCCTTTTGATAAAATTGTTGACGTTTCGTCTGTTAAGACTTTTTCAAAAGTTGACATATGTGTTAAAATGTTGTTTTTATGTGAAAGAGATCTTCAAAACATAATTTATTAGGTGAATGAAGAAGTCAAAGGAGAGTGCTTTTTTTACTCACCAAATATTGTTAAAAATTGAATATGTACATTACAGAAAATAAGTTAAAAACGTCCATATTGTTTTCTATTTCTTTAATTTATGTTGAGCCAAAAGACGAAAGGAATATTGAAGATGAGCATTGTGGTTTGTTTTATAAATTTGTTAAATCTGTCAAAGAATGTAATGTTCAAAAGTTCTAAGAAGTGTTGCCATTGGATCTAAAAATGTTTATAAGGTATAATGTGTGTGGTATATAAAGGGAAGAAAGCTAAAAATGTTTACGTGAATGAAAAGGTAAGAAAACTATTTTTTTAGCAGTGGTTTTGTCGGTTTTGAAATTTATTGATTTAGAATTTTGTTTACATATATCATTTCTAGAATTAGTCTTTAAGGTTGGTTCAGTTTTTAAAATTTTAGGGTTTTCAAAATCGAAGGTATGTATGCTAGATACGGAGTGTTCGCTTAGGGCTGTGTTCGGTAAGTGGAAACTGTATTTTTTTTAATTGAATGTTTGTGTGGGTAGATTTTTTTGTTTAGGTGTTGTTTGGTTTGGTCAATGTAAGTTGAATAAATTACAGTCTAAACAGTTAATTGAATAAATTAGATTTGGCATTTGAGATTGTGGCGTTTTATCTTTTTATTTACTAAAGAATTTTTTACCTATAGAATGCTGTATTGATATTGAATTTTATAGGTTCTTTTTCGACTTGATAGTTTAGGGATATACGGTAATTTAATATATTTGTTAGATTCATTGTTGGTTATTATGTAAAATCATTCTTGAAAATTTTTGCCTAAGCAATTAGGTTGGAGGTTTATAATTTGGTCACGTTTTTGTGTTGATTGTTTTTTGTTGGTTATATGTTTAATCTTTGTTTTATTTTTGAATTTATGTAATTGATTATTTTTGATGAGGATTTCAGTAATTTTGTTAATGTTGCATTTATGCAAACTGGAGAATAAAATAGCTGGGTCAACTAGACTGTTTCTGGTTTTGTATTTGTTAGTTGTTACGGAATTATAATTTAAATATCTGTCAGTTTTTACAGTTTTTCTAAACCAGTTCGTTGAAATTTTTTTATTATTGATGTTTTTCATTATAGTTAAATCTAAGAAATTTAATGAGTTGTTATTTTCTTTTTCTAGGGTGAACTTTAGTTTTGGGTGGTAATTGTTAAAAATTTCATAGATTTCAGTTATTTTGTTATTGTTGGTACAAATAATAATGCCATCAATACATATTTTATAGAAGCTAATGTAATTTTTGTTTTAAGTAGTTCACTTTCCATATCAAAAAGGACAAGTTCGGCAATTGATGAGGAAATTGGAGAGTCCATAGGGACTCCAAAAACTTGTGTAAATCCATTGTCATTAAAGGAAAAGTATATTGATTCTAAAATGAAAGTTAAGGTAATGATAAAATCATTTTTATTAATGGAAGTAAATTTTTTAATTTTTTTCCAATTTTTATTGATTGAGTTGATGGCGAGTTCAATAGGAATGTTTGTATAAAGGGAGGCAATATCAAGGGAAAAAGGATACGTTGCGGTGTCAATAAAATTTTGAAAATTCCATGAATCTTTAATACAGTGTGAGCAACAATGATTGAAGCGTGCGTCATCACCGCTTGTTCCTATTAATATCAAAACTACCTTCTTTGTATGGAGTTGTATACGAAAATGACGTTCTGCGCTGTCACAGTGATGTGCGTCTATTCGTATTTCGTATCTTGTATCAAATCAGCATATGCTATGAGCGGCACATTGCCAATTTAGCTGAAGCGGCACGCTTCAATCTTTGTTGCTCACTCTGTACTATATTTAATTTTTTTGTTATATTTGTTAAGATTTTTGAAAGAAGGTTATATGTGGGGCTAGTATATGAGGCCACTATTGGTCTTAGTGGGAAGTTTTGTTTGTGTAACTTTGGTAATCCGTAAATTTTGGGGCGTGTACTAATTGTATGAGGAAAGTTGTTTATATTCTATTTTTGAAATGTGTTCTAGATCTAACCAGTTTTTGATAATTTTGTTTGTGTCATTGTCATTAAGGAGTTCGTTCATTTTATTTTGGTAGTCTTGTTTGTTTAGTGTGTGACAGTTGTGTCTTAATTAATTTTTTAAAAATGTTTCGGTTTTTAAATTTTATTTTATCATCAA